ATGTTTGATAAGAAAGAAGACGGAGCAAACCACACCAAAGCACTCGTCAGCCACTCAAGAATATGTAGAGGAGAGGGTTAAGTCCAACATAATGCTACAACAGACAGAGCCGGCCCACTCACCCGACCCAGTCAGCAAACTCCATTGTGTTGGGCACGGTGGCGGAGAGCAGGATGACGTTGACATGCTGGGGCAGCATAATGAGAACTTCCTCCCATACTACGCCCCGCTCCGAGTCATTGATGTAGTGAACCTCGTCGAAGATGACCCACTCCAGGTCTCGGATCACGTCAGAGCCATTGTAAAGCATAGACCTGAACAAGATAAGATGAGCTTGAGCGTTGAACAAAATGTTATTATAAAGTATTGGCAGAAAAAATTGCAATAAAAAAGTCTATACGTGAGACTATTAAACTTCATCAAACTTCACATAAAGCAATGGATATTACTTTCACAAACAAATTAAAACCTAATCTCTTGTTAGAACATGACAGTCTTACAAGAAGATCACAAGGAAAGACAAGGAAGAATTCATGAACAGGTTGGTAGAGAGGGCAGAGGGAACATGCGAATCCTTTACCAGAACCCAAAGACTCTTTGGAAAATATGGGAAACCAGAAGTACCAGTAAAGGACCAAGACGGGAAAACTGTTTTTGGAAAGGAAGCTCAGTAGCAAAAATGGGAAGATTATTTCATCAGTTTCCTGAACAGATCACCACCAAGTAACCCACCAAACATCCTGCTGGCAAGAAATGAGTTACCAATCTCTTGTGATGCTCCTTCAAAACAAGGCATTCTGGATTTTTAGACGATTACCTCCCTTTTCCGGGATTTTGGGGCATGATTCAAAACAAATCCCCACGAGCTGAATGGTTCAATGGAAAGAACCTGATACAAGATAAACTCGACTTTACAACATTTATGTGGCCAGCCAGTTTACATAATTTAGTATCTCAGTCTCCACTGGAAGCACAAAGTCTTGCTAACTGTCAGGGTGCATAACATTATCATTCCATCATATCCCATCTCTACCGACTGCCATGTAGCAAGACAAACTGAGGAAAACAGATTAAACTACTTTTCGTTGGGAAACAATGAGCCACCCGGCAAAATTGGGAACTAATCTCACATTTTTGTAACTGCTAATTGAAATCAATTATGGAAAGAGATCTATGTATACTTTTACTCATTTATTCTTTCACTTTCTTGATTTAGTTTTCCAATTTTTTCATATTCTTACAGACACAAGAGAAATAAAAAAATATGTCTTTGAGTACCATACATCATTTCACCATATGTGAGCGTGCCAGGTGAAAGGTACCAAAAGACGCATTTGTTCAAAGGTCAAAAATAGAACTTTTGACAAAAACTAAGTTCCATTAAAAATGGATTCTGAAGCCATTAATATATCGATATCTACAAGGACTTGAGTTTCTTTTACTTTAAAATACATTTTTAAAGATATTTTATAACACGAAGTATATTGCATAATCCCAAATAATGTGTGAGAAAATTGGTTTTCCGAGTACACACTGCGGATGGTTTCTCTTGTCCATTCATAAAGTCAACCCAATCACAATGCATATAAAAAATAAGGTCATTCTCTCCCCTCTCTAATGGCGATTAGAGCACATGAATATCTAGAACGTGAAAACAAAGCGAAGCTTTGCGCATCCACACACTTTCGTTTTTTTTAGAGCAAACAGTATCGCATATTTCTTCCCTGTGCAAACATAGACCTAACTTCTTGAAAATTCTAGCTCAAGGTGGTGGCGAATATATTTTGAAAACGTAATATAAACATTTTGAAGGTGTTCTTTTATCTTAGCTGTTTTTTAAAGTTGGCTTGTAAGTAGCGAATGTGTTGTCAGGTCCTCTCGAAGCGTAGATCCATCTATTTGAAGCAGAAACAAAGAGAAAACTTTAAATCTGTTTTTCTCAAAACTTTGTTTCCGTATGCTACCTTACAAAATCGCCCATATCTCAAAAACTTCTGAAGATATTTTTAAAATTCAAAAAGCATATTGCTCGGAAATGACCCCTTTACATGAAAATGCAAAAAAACCACCAAAAAACGGGATTCTTCAAAATGCGTCATTTGGTACCTTTCCCCATGCACACACACATATTTATAGGCAAGGTCAATACTGCTGAGTTAAAACTGCAAATTCAACAGTTTCTTACTTTCAGTCAGGAGACACAAGTAGGACGAGAAATAATGAAAAGAATTTATCCATCTTGGCTCTCCTCTCAACACAACACTATGATCTCCACACATGCATGCGATTGACCTTGAGACTTACCGGAGAATCTCGGTGGTCATGATGAGGCAGGCTGCTGTTTGGTTGAGCTGTACATCTCCAGTGACCAGACCCACATCTCCGAAAGTCTGCTTGAAGTCTCGGAACTTCTGGTTGGACAAGGCCTTGATCGGAGAGGTGTAAATTGTCCTAAAAAAAACATATCAAAGTAAATTAAAAAAGGAAAGAGATACAAACAAAACCACAAAAATAACCAAAAATAAGAATAAAGCGTAAAATATCCTATAAACAAAATGAGCACTCAGTCTTGTTCTCTGTTTCAAAGACATGATCTGTCTTTAAACTTTTTCAGAAGATAGTATACTCTTTGTTTGCTTAATTTTATTTTGTTTTTGTATGAATAATTTTCTGAACATAGCATCGATGACTGGCAACTTTCATAAAAGGCAGCTTCATTCCCATTATCGTCATGTTGTCAGCATGTTTCAAGTCACTTGTCAAGGAAAATTGCAGAATAATGTTCCAAACAGGATGTTCCCTGATTAAGACTAAGATCCTTTTCCATGAGGATGTTTAATATATAACTTCCTTTTTACTCCCAATTGAATACTGGGACACTGATTGACATACAGTACTCATTTAAGAAATAGTGATTAACAAGTCGCATGTGTACTTGTAATCACTGGTTTCTTGGGAAATGACGACCATCTTTGAAGTATGTAAAAAAGCAATGGGCATTGCATTTTCATATTCATTTCAAAGGTACTGTGATTAGCTTCCTTGCTCCAGTTGCAATCTTCCTACTTAGCAAAGATCAGTGGGCCTAGATCTTCCTTTATTCATTTTAGTTCATCTGGAGGCATTTCAAAGTTGAAACGTCTCAAATGCAAAAAATATAAATGATTTCACACTTTTTAAAAAAGTAACCTTTATAGAAATAATATAAAAAATATAATTAATTTAACTAGCCAGGTGAATGTAGTGTAGAAGCATCTAGATCTATATAAAATCAAAGCCAATCTCCAAGGTTTTCCTTCATGAGTAAAAAAAATTCTTTTTTCAAACAGAGAATTAACTGAGTAATGCAGTTTCAAGAAAGAAAGAAGAACTATTAAAATACTAAAAGTTACTCAATCAAATACTCTTGCAAGTATCATAGCTCCAACTGGCCAACTGTTCGTAATGATATGTGTCACGACACAGTGGAATCAGGCACCCATCAATTTTTGAGCATGTGGGGTTATTGGTATCATCTGAAAGCTGATTTATTTGCCTTGCTTCCATTGAAATAAACATCTATTTATCTTGAATAGAACTCGAGACATCTGCATTTGAATGAAGTGGGGTTGCCTGTTTTCAGAGGTGAAATTAGCGAAAAAATGGCCACCAAATTTTGGTTACTCCAACAGCTAAAGAGTCTTTGAAATCTGAAAAATGACATATTTTGTGCCTTTAATCAATGTTTTTCCAGTAAAATTCACATGTAAATGTGATGTTATATGGACATAAAAGAATTTAAGCCAAAAAATATCCAAACTGGAGGAAAAATGCCTGATTTTGTTAGTTTGACAAGCACCTGATTCCATCCTACTGCCTCACATATAAGTATGTACATGATCGATACAGCAATAAAGTCTAAGAGAAAGAAGCCAGTCATGTGAAATGCTGAACTGCAGGCAGCCATAACAGTACTTTCAGTTCTTTTTTTATTTAGTAAAAGCTTTAGGGCACTTGCAACACAATTTACATTACATAATTGCAGAAGATTCAAGGGGCTACAAGAGAGTAACATGCATAAAAAAAAGGAGAAATAAGGACGATAAAAGTTTGATAGGAAAGAAGGAGCAAACCACACCATAGCATTCGCCAACAACCCACATCAAAGATATGTATTCATTAAATAAACAAATACTGAGTACTATATAACAAAAACTGGAGCCTACCGTGTCATGTGTTTCAGAGAGAGAGCAATGGCGTACTCAGCGACAACAGTTTTGCCGGCTGAGGTGTGCGCTGCCACAAACACACTGTCATGACTCTCTAGCCGGAGAATTGCCTGTTTCTGGAAGATATCTGGTTCAAAAGGCCACTGAAAATAAAGCATACAGGGATGAAAAGGTTTTCTTTTTTAAATAAAACAAAGGGAATTCTATGACAGTACGGGAGAGAGACAAATATGATACACCTTTAAAAACATATGTTTTCGGGAAAGAGGAAAGGGAAGGGAAGGAAATAATGTGAGATAATTTAGAGAATAATTGAGAGAAAGGACCCCACAGAATATTATAAGGTAGCATGCCGGCAGGGAGAAAAGTTGAACTACAATTGTCAATACTAGCAACTAGCTGTTGGTGCAAACTTCATACTGACTCATACTTGGCAACACCAGAGTAACAACTTTTACACTACATCGTGAGGCAATGTGGTATGGCATAATATGATTTAATGCATCTAGGTCATCACCAACAGAGCTAGAACATCATCCTAAGCAGATGTTAAGGAGGAGGTATGAGGTACGAGATTGGTACTGGGGTATAAAGAGATTTGTACTGAGGTACAAGTCTGTTACCTTGTAAGCCATGTTGGGTATTCTCTTGTAGAAATCATGAACTGGGGAGCTGATGTCCACTTTCACAGCCCATTCCTCCTTGGGTGGAGCAGCTTTTTTCTTCACTGGTTGTTCCTCAGATTGCGTCTTTGGTGGGGCCTGATCACTTGGCTGTATAAAGAGAACATTACTTGTTGGACACCTCTCCAGTAAGCAACAAATCTAAACACCAGCATATTGGCTTGATAAAGTCCAGTTGAAGATGAATATGAGCACTAATTGCACGCAATGAAAGTCACAAGTGTCAAATTCCACAAGATATACAATCACATATTATTTGGACACTGAACAGCTATGGGAGTATTGCCCTCTTAAGCATCTTTTAAGTATGGTGAGAAGTTCTTGAAAACTACCTAAACAAACTAACTTCTAAAAATGCTATTTGGAGTTCAAACAAGGTTCACAAATGAAAATATGGCAGAAATGTACCAAGTTCCAATATTGTTCCAAAATATAATAAAGTTATATCTCTGAAGTTGGTAAACTACTGAGAAGCTGAGAAAGAAAAACACAAATCAAGTTATTTGAGCACTTTTTATAAATTGAAAATAGATCACAATTTGAACTGTCCTCACCTGAACTAGGTTCTCCAGACTTTCGCTTCTGGTTAGTTCGGCTGATATGGTCTGAGAAAATAGGAAGCAGAGTAAATTTATATAAAGAAACAAACATAGTAGAAATAGAGAGGACCATATGCTATTTAAAAAGATATCTGCACTTAAACGACAGAGACAAATTAATTTTAGAATAACGTAACCTTAAGAGAAGTAAAAATAAAAACAGGAAAGACTTAAGGTGAGTGATCAGACAAACACAAGTTTACCACAGAATTTTACCTGAAGTTAAAAAAGAAAACTCTTTAAACTTAACTCCTTATCTCCTGCAAGCCACTCCCAGCGGCTCAAGGTCGGAACCGTGTGCTGGTGAGCTGCCGACAGAAACTCAGGTACCTTCATTTACAACGACTTCGAAGTTGTATCAATTTTCAGCAAATTGCTGAAAACAGGTCTCTTTTGCCAGGAGTTTTTATATTATATGAAGAACTACCCAAGTAGGCCCATTTGATTTGATTTAATGTATATGTTACTTTTAGGTTCTGTACCAAAAGAAAGCCCCGACATGGCAGTGGGGGAAAACCCAGTGGACCCCAGCACATACCCGAGTGTGACTATCTGTGTTCTTCTGTGCTCTAAGCAACAGACACAGTGCCCACTACGTGGAAGTACAACCTTTCTGATAGCACAAGAACACTAATGAAAAATTAGAAACAGATGCACATGTGAGACATTTACTTTGTTTAACATTTCGGCCTCTTTTCCGTCCTTCTTTTTTGTTCAACTACCACACTCATGCTCAACAGAGCAATAGATTCATATTAAAGAAAACCTACAAAATAAAACAAAAACGTACTTCCTTTGTGTCTAGATCACCATCAACCTTTCCATCCTCATCTTTTTCCTCATCACTGTCACCCAGGTCCAGGTTGTCATCAACAGCCATGATGTCTGCCAGATTAATGACAGTCGGGGTATCAGCAGAGTTGGATGGAACAGTTGCTGACTCCGAGGTTGCACTAGAGGCCAAGTGAAGGCCAGATTGGAAGCCAGGAGGAGTGGTCAAGTATTGATCGGCTGATTGGATTAAAAAGAAAATTGAGTAGATAGATTAGGGCCCTTTTTGTACATTTGAAAATTATAATTCTGATGCCACGGCTTGACATTTTAAGAAACACATGTACACACAACAATATATTAAATACTTTTGTGAAATATTAGACAGATGAAACATCAAAGTGTAGAAGCAGAAACTAATGTCTCAGCAAAAAATGACTATAAACAGGATAACAAAGGGAAATATCTAAGTCTCTTCTAATGTGAATGGCTGTTTCAGAGGAAGAATACTGCTTGAACTTGTATATGGGTTACTGTAAAGGGTTTTGCTGTCAAGCCAAATTTTTCGACTTTCAGCTTCCAAGGTATTTTTATACTGCGCAATTTGCTGCACAATATGCCCAAGAAAACAGATGAGATTTTTAAAAATTTACCAGAGAAGACAAGACACTTAATCCTTTTTATCTTAATTCATAGGTAGGAACTAAAAATTAAAACAAGTTTCAACATGCCCTCATAGACATGAAACAAATACAAAAAAAATGTCCTTAGGCATAGGACATACCATCCTAAAGCAATGACTTCATTCTTGCTTCCTCCAAACATACAATTCGCTATAAATAAACATTTACTCTTCCTAATATTTTATCACCAAAATTTTATCCAGGGAAAAAAAAGAAGTCTCACCTTTACGCCTCTTTTTACTAAACTAATTAATTGAGGTTTGAAAGCAGCGCCTCTCCATGTCAAGTGTACAGGGGTTTTTAAAAAACCTGTCACACTGGCTACAACTGAAAATGTGAATCCTCAGTTTATCTAAAATGTTTAAGCTTCTGCAAGAGTCGGGTGCTTGTTGTAGTATAAAAAAAGTTTTTATTATTGCAGCATTACAACATCGCAACAGACCATTATCGAGATCTAGCACGGATGGTTTGAGTTCAGTCTCCGTCACTTCCTCCAGAAGTTGGTCAGCTGTGGTGTCCAGACCACCTGAAAATTAAAAAAAATAAAAAACTAAAGCAATAATACAACAGCAGGGAGGGGGGTAAAAAAAACCTACGTTGAAACTGTCTGAGACAGCCATCCATTTTCGATGAGAAAAGTGGCAGTCTTATGCAGATGGTATCTTACCCAGTGTCATTATAATGTGGAAAATACACAAGGGAGGAAATGGGAAAGGGAGGAAATGGGAAGTGGTTATTTGCACAGGTGATTGTCTTGTACAGGTGTCCAATAAAGCAGGTTCAACTGTATTTTCTACAAAATCCTGAGCAGAATATTATGAAATCAAACTTCCAATCGCACTTTAACAAAAACCAGCATTACATAGTGTAACTTGTTGCCTTATAAGCAGTAAAAACATAATGTAAAATGTAATCTGTGGTACGGAAAAAGCATTGACTTAGATATATAAAATATTACACTATAATTTACAGCTTGTAAAAGAAATGTTTCTTTTGTAATGGGTCTTTCCAATATTTGGTATATGAACTAACGACTGGAGTAAAGTCACCAAATCAAAGAGAGAAAAGGGGGAGAACATTTTTATCGATTAATCATTCCTAAAAAGAAAAAAAAAGAAACAAAAAATAGAACAATCAATGCTAATTAACAGCTCTATTTCCTTCAAAGCAATTATGAAAAATGACTGGGCAACATAGACCATCAGACACAAGACTGTCTTAAGTTTCTATTTGTAGACTAGTTCCCGTGCACATTTACCTGGCCAAAAAGGGAGGTTTATATTGGAGCCTCGAACATCTTGTTTGCTTCGGGTACTGCCCACATCTGGAGCTCTCCGCAGAGATAGTGAGTTACGGGATGTCTCGGCACTGTCTGGGATCAGCTCCTGGGAAGAAAAAAGATCCACATGATAAAAATTTGAGTGTGGCTTTACGAGACAGATTACTCAGCTATTTTTGGACCATCCTACAGGCTCTCAGGAAGTCAGGCAGGTGCAAAACAAAAAAAAGTGTTGGATTGGAATCCACAGGGTAAAAGATCAAGAGGAAGACCTCCACCATGTGGAACATAGTAAAGAGTCACAGAAATTGATGTACAGAAAAGTGGGAAACATGGAATAGCATCCAGAGGCTAACCCAGGATAGGGGAAAGCGGAAAGTGTTTGTTCGTGGCCTATATCGTGATCCAGGGTGATTTGTTTGTTTGAGTAAAGAGAGGCACATCGACACAGTAGTGACCATTTAGTGCTAGGAAAAAGTAAGACAGACAGACAGAAACAACAGATGGCAAGTAAAGAAGTAGGACCTACCAGTGGCGCTGTCCAACCACCTGCATCCAGGGTGAGAAAAGCAATGCTGATGACAGCCTCTTAGCCTAAACATAGCCATGACTAAGATAAATGGTTAAACAGCTAAATTAAAGACCAAAACATCACAGTTTTGATTCCGGAGAGTATCTCATCCTATATTTTTTTCAAAAGAAAGACACTTTAAACAACAGTTCATCTTTCCTCTAGCAAAGAGCAAATAAGGTATAAAGTATTGACCTATCAAGGTAAGAAAACCTGAGACAGGTGTGCTCTCATGTCATCTGCATTGCTTCCCTTTGGTAAAAACAACATGGACTTAAAGGCTGCGTGGAAAGGAACTGGCCACCCTTTCACAATATGCCGAAGACCAAGGAAGTTGTCTCACTAACAAGACAATCCCCAATGTCTGGATCGGATGCAGGAATAACTTTACTTTACTTTATTTCAAGTAAAGTATACATCCAAAAGAAAGACAAAAACAACATCTCTTTGAGACCCAGAAGAAACACAAATTTCACCACTGAAGAGTGCCAAGGTGTAGAATAGTGAAATCATAGTGCAGAAAGATCTGACCAGTGGTATAACTATGTTTAAAGTTTTAATAACAAGTTTTATGGCACATGCAACACAAGAAGGTCATATAAGTGCCAAAGATTTTAAGGTGTTACCAAAGAATAAAAAACACAAAAAAGGAGAGATAAAGATGATAGAGGTTTATTAGAAAAGACGGAGCAAACCACACTAAAGTACCGGCTAACCACCCACCGTTATAACTACACTTTTTTTTGTCTGTTCACCATGCCCTTCTTCTCAGAGGGCCTACCCATATGATCTACCCAACTTGCTCAACTTTCATTTTATGCAAAGTTGATGTTATTTTGAACAGGTGAATTTTTTACTCTTAAAAAGTTGACTTTGGAGATTGAAAAGTCACTTGTTTTCAGCTTCATAGTGTTGTTGATTTAAGGTGATTTCCAAAAGTTGATACGAAAAACAGCAATTATACACACACACACACCTCTGTAAATCCCAGGAGTTTGCCGGTAGTAGGATGTCGTTCCACTTGTATTGTGGTCTTTAAAGGGCAAGTGTCCACATGATAGAGACGTTCGTACCTGGGTTCTCGAGGGATTAACCTACACAGGAGGGTGGTTTAAAATAGCATATGTGAGGCATCATGGTAAAATCAGGCAATTGTCAAAATAATGAAATCAAAGATTCAGCATTTGTCTTGCCTTTGGTGGCTTCTACCAAATTTTTTTTTTCACTTAGCACCTTTTATATTTATTTAAAAACACACTTATGTGTGGGTTTTGTTGAAAGACATTAATTAAAGGCACAAAAAATGTAAATTTGCAGTTTCCACGGAAGTCATCAAACTTTGACAGCTGTTTTCTCGCTAATTTTATCTCTGAAACCAGGCAACCTCACCTCCTTCAATTGCAAATGTCTTAAACTTCTATTCAAGATATTAGGGTTTTTTTTCATCGAAAACAAAGCAAATGAACAAGCTTTATAATTATCAAAATGACTCTATATACTCAAAACTTGACGAGCGCCTGATTCCACCACGTCGTGACTCATACATACATGACATGCACACATATCTTTCCAGTTAACTCAATAAAAGTTGACAGGATAAAGTAAATGATTCCTATTGGAAAGTGACATGATTCATCTTTTGATGGGGAGGCAAAACTATATGAAATACCATTTTAATGTAAAGAAGTATAACAGCATACTAACAAACTTGATCAACAGCACATGTCTGATCACTCACATAACAATCAACAATACAGATATTATGACTCCTCTATAGGCTCTTTTTCTATCTGAAAAACATTCCTGTCTGCCTGCCACAATTCTTCAGTTCTTTGATTTTACTCATTCACTCACTAGTGCAATAATAACAATAAATTAATAAATAGCATTTATATAGCACAAATTCCGGCTCAACAGCAAGCGCCATGTGCTTTACATCTAAATTCTATACTATTACCCCAGCAGACCTCGGCATTTATATGACCTAATAGTGTTGCAAGTGCCGTAAAATTCTTAGTAAAACAAAGACCTGATAGCATTCTGAAACAATCTCAACTTCCTGGGAAGCATACAGTGCAAGCTGCCATTTTGCAGGTACTCAAACACTAACGTACTGACAAGATCGTCCGATGTCTATGGCAGGGTACCTATTCATATCTAGGTGAAGTGAAGAAAGTTCTTGTCATGTGCCTTTGCCAAAGATGCAACACTGGGCCTGAGCTTCAAACCCACAGACCTGCAACCCCACAATTCCAAGGCGGGTGTATTGCTCTCAAGGCACAATCCACGACTTACCTCTGACTCAAAGACAAATCGTGAATGGGCAGAGACTCGGGGTCAATGAGGAACTTTTCAATCTCCTTTTCCAGAGATGGGAGCACTGGAGGAAGCCCCACAGGTAGCTGTATGAACAAATTGAGTTTGAGTAAACAGAACAACATCGACACAATAACGGCTTTTTATAGCTGGGAAAAAGCAAAACACACAGCCAGAAACAATGGAGGCCAAAAAAAAAAAGAAGTAAGACCTATCAATGGTGTCCTCCGATTGACTATTTGAATAAGGAGTATTAAATTTAAGCTATAGTCAAAGATGTTAAACGGATTTATTAACCTTAAAAAAACCACTTGGACCAACAAAACAAAAGAACAAAAAATATAGTCTAAGCATAAAATATTGTTTACTCAATAAATGAGCAGAGGAGTACATTTGTATCTTTTTTGTGCATAAAAAAAGAGATACGAAAGAAGTTCTGCAAATGAACAGAATTCACCTTGCTTTTATATGTTAACAAAATGCCAGATAAAAAGGTCAAAATATTTTAAAATATATTGCTTTGTGCATTTTTACGGAATGTAAGCGTGAAAAGTCACACACAGAGAGTAGACCCAAGCACACACACGTCCATGCACGTACACACCCACGCATGCCCCAACGCACGCACTCATATATAAATCAAAAAGTTTTTAAAAATATCAAAAGCAAATACATGAGCAGCTGAATTGACAGACATGTAAATAATTAGCTAACTTTAATAATCATCTTTTTACGCCAGCTACCTCTATGGTCTACAATTTACAAATATACATAGATTGCGCCTCTAGAAGTCACTGCAGCCAAAACACATGAACACACATTTAAATTTAAAATTCGAACAATTAACAATAACTTCCCTAAAAGTGCGAAACAAATTCTCCAATCTTGAACTAAATTTGAAAGTTTCATCACAAGAAAGGCACTATCTGTCTATAGAAGAAAGAGAAAATGGCTTCTCCCAAATTAAGTTTTCAGGACAAAATTTCCATTGTAACAGAAAAGTTGGGTTTATATGAAAACCTGTCTGACACATAGTGTAATAGGAAGGTCTGTTGTCTTTCATATAACAACTCACAGTTACTCCAGGGAATGTCAGCCTTTTAGAGCTCTTATCTGGACCAATTTGCTGTGGCACAAGCTCTAAATGAGAACAACAGCCTGTCTCCACTAGGTCAAAATGAGTGTCCATGGTCAGAGTGAAAAGTCAGTCCACAAGGCCACTTTCTCTAATGATGAAAAAAGAAATGTCAAAATGGTTAACAATTTAATTTATAGCACAAAGCCGCGAAGTCTTGAAGATAATTGTACCCTTTGCTATGGTACAAGTATGCCTGTATCTTTCAAATAAATTATAAATTAAATAATTACATTGTTCATTAAACTAACTTACTTATAAAGCTGAACACCACGTACATCACTGCTGGATACTGTGGTGCAGGGCCAATATTTGTCCATAGAGGAAATAAATGACAGAGGTAATAAAGAAAGGGGGGAAGGGGTGTAAATTTTGATCCATCTCAAGATTATCAAATTTTTAAAAAATCTTGCACTTCATCAGCACGATCATAAACACCATATAGTATAGGCCTACAGTCTCAGAAAAAAAATGCCCTGCATACTGGAGATATGTGCAAACTGATACCTCATCCAGTATCAAAATTGTATGAGATATGGTATCAAAATGCGATTTTTCGATCATTTGGATATAAACACAAACTTTCTTTGAAAAGGAAATACTGAGGGAATCTCACCACCCACTACCAACTGGTCTCAAAATCACCTTCTTTCTTCATTTCGATTGCTTCTCAAAAGTGATCAGACTCGCTTAGAACAACGAAGTCAGAAACTCACAAACAAAATGGTACCCTTAGACTGTATCATGAAGGCAATTTCTAGTTTCGACCCCAAGAGTAGGACTACTGGAATACTGATAGTATTTTTATGGATTAAAGTAGCTACTGGTTATGGGTAGGAGTATGGGTGTTGGAGTAGGGGTATGGGTGTTGGAGTAGGGGTATAGGTAAGGGTAGGGGTAGGTCGGTAGAATAGTAACTCTCGCTCTTCTGTAATCATTGGGGTCAAAATCAGATTATACGAGAATGAAAATAAGTCAGTAGGCTAGGACATTGATGTGATTGTCACAGTATGTGATTGTCACAGTATGTGATTTACTTTCCTTAACCAATTAGTGCCTAGAATTGCCTGGAGTCTATCAATTCACACCTAGAGTGGTGTTGCACGTCATTTCAACTGCTGACCGCACAACACTGCCATGGTATGCATTTCTATGAGATCTAGGAATAATGTCTGATTAGTATTGTCTGAAAATGAGAATATAAAGCAAAAGTAGAGTTGTTCTTTTTTCTTTCAATTTTTGAATGGTAAAAATTGACCAAGAAATAGTGCATGTGTGTGAATTTATAAAGTAAATAATGACGAAATGGAGGGTGCAATGGTGCTGAAACTTAGACAAATCCAAAGAACCTTTGATAAAAATTCAGCAATGAATGAAGCAATCTCGACCAAACAAAAACAAGTTGCAAGTTCAATTTTCAGTCCACTGCAGTTGTACTTGTAAGACACTAGAGGAGTTGGTTATATTTATTTAATTTGATGAAATAGACAGGTAACGAATGAAAACCCAATAGTCATAATATAACCATAATGGAAAAGATAAATAACTTGCCCATACCGTGCCCCAGTCGAAACTGGCTCCTTGGAAGCGGTATTCTTTTCATATGGTCGCTTTTAAGCACAAGGGGGCTATCTCGAAAAACGCTGTTTTGAGAAAATCAAAAGAAAAGTTTTTGGACCCTTGTTCAGTTTCTTTAAAAGACAAGGAGAGTTTTCTCTATAACAAAACATAGGCCTATATACACACCAATGAAACCAAACTTCTCATATAGGTAGGGCAATGCCCACCAATAGTGTAGGTCAAGATTTCTGGAAACCCCCAAAATCTCGGTTAGCCCGCTTGTCCTTAAAAGCGACCATATATGATAGTTGTGTTTATTTCCCGATCATTTTGTAACAATTTTTTTTTTCTATTTATTAAAAAAAAAATTATATTATGATATTTTAAGAGGATTATCAAGCACTTTTCCAGGATTTTGGGACAGGCATCTGGACAAATCCCAGAGGTGAAAAGGTGAAGATTTGCTTGTCATTATGGGAAGATTAAAAATAGGACTGTGAGTAAAACTTCAAACAACAAGTACTCTTGCAAAATGAGAATCGTTTTTAATAATTCAAATACTACTGATTGATAATTAATAGGGTGGGTCATCTAAAATTTCAGTAAAATTTTACTTGCACACCCACATTGCTTTTGAGCGCTAAACTACCATTAATTTTTGCTACAGAACACATATATATATTTTATACATTGCCACTAAAACCCTCACAAATCAATTGTTTTCAAGAAACCCAAACATTCATGGAAACACAGGGGGTATGTCACCACCCCCTTGAAACCACCCAGTTTTTGTTAAAGTGAAATATTACTACACAGTTGGGCCTTAGATATCTATTGCATTATACTGTCCCTGTGGTTTTAAGCACCCCGCATAAGTTTGCAAAATTTGATCATTTTTTTGCATAATTTCTGATTATTTTCCTTTATCATTCTTTGTTGAAATTAACAGAATCGCATAATTTCACATTTTTGGGCTCAGTTTGCATAATTTCAGAATTTTTCTTGCATACAACGGGGACAGAACATATATATAACATGTGAGGCACTGTGGTGAAATCAGGCGCTTGACAAAATAATGAAACCGGCATTTTTCCGCCAGTTTGGCTATTTTTATCCAATTTTTGTTTTTTGGCTAAACACTTTTTATGTCCATACCAAAACACATTTCTATACTAGATTAGAATTTGACTGAAACTCTTTCACTACCAGAGGGTTTTCCTCTCCTGGGTCGAGCCCTATCTGTGACCTGCTTTCTGGTTCTGCCTACCCTCGGACAAATTAAAAGATTTTTAAATTCAATTTTCAACATTAGCCACGTGTATTAAATATGAAAATAAAGGGGAAATTTTGACCTTTCTCAACATGTTTCTAAAAACGATCATTCTTCAGCCTCAGATTTCAGATTTGATTATAACAAAAGGAGGTGAGGTTTTGAAGCAGGAAGTAGCAAGCCGTGCTCGCTGTCCAGCGTTGGGGGTAACATGAGCCGTGAAACACGGTTCGCGATAGTGAAAAGGTTAAGTAGCCTGCCAGTCTAGCCATACTTAGGTTAGGCCCTATTGACCAAAACCTGTCGAGTACACAGATCTTTAGATCTTGTAATTATTCAGGTTTAAAATACATGCATGCATGTCAGTAAGGCACCTTTTGGTTTTGTCTGAAATACAAATACTTTAGGTATGTATTGTATTGAGTATTGCAAACTAAAATTTTATTTACGATTCATCCATCATTATTAAGTACGGCTAGCCTGCCAGTCTAGCCATACTTAGGTTAGGCCCTATTGGCCAAAACCTGTTGAGTACACAGGTCTCATTAGTAATTATTCAGGTTTAAGTTTAAAATCTATACATGCACTGTCAGTAAGGCACCTTCTGGTTTCACCTCAAATACAAATACTTTAGGTATTGCAAACTAAATTTTTTAATACAATTCAGTATTTTTTGCTGTTTGTCAGTCTAACCACCTTTATTAAGTATGGCTAGCCTAGCCGTCTAATTGTCAATAAGTACAATTCAGTACTTTTTGCTTTTTGTCAGTCTAGCCATCATTATTAAGTTTAGTATGACTAGCCTGCCAATCTAGCCATCCAAAGTACGACTAACCTAGCTGTTTAACCATCATTAAGTATTAGTTACAGCTAGCTTGCCAGTCTACCCATCCTTAAGTATGGCTAGCCTCTTCCAAAAATATGTAATTTTTCACTTTTGAGGGACTCACAAGCTAATGAAGACACCTAAACATTTGGCGGCCATTTTCTCGCTAATTTTATCACTGAAACCAGCCGGCCCTACCTCTTTCAACAGCAAATTATCTCAAATTCTATTCAAGATAGGATAGGGTCTAGATGGGTATTTTTTGGGAAGATGCTAGCAGTACGGCTAGACTGGCAGGCTAGCCGTACTTAATGACGGCTAGGCAAGCCGTACGTTATAATAATGGTTAGACTGATAAACAAAAAAAAGTAGGCCTACTGAATTGTAAATAAATTTTTTGTTTGCAACACCTAAAGTATTTGTAATTGAGACGAAACCAAAGGGTGCCTTACTGACAGTGCATATAATTACTTATGAGACATGTGTACTCAACAGGTTTCGATCAATAGAGCCTTAGAACCTAAGTACGGCTAAACTGGCAGGCCAGCCGTACTTAGACTGCTAGGCTAGACGTACTTAAGGACAGCTAGACAGTTGGGCTAGCCGAACTTAAGGACGGCTAGACTGGCAGGCTAACCGTACTTAATATTGATGGCTGAATAGTAAAAATGAATTTTTAGTTTGCAATACCTAAAGTATTTGTATTTCAGACAAAACCAAAAGGTGATTACTGACATGCATGTATTTTAAACCTGAATAATTACTAGATCTAATAAGACCTGTGCACTCAACAGGTTTCGGTCAATAGGGTCTAACCTAAGTGTGGCTAGATTGGCAGGCTAGCCGTAGCATGGGTTGGTCTCGGTGCTCAGGAATTCCTGGATGTACTAGTAGGAATTAAAATATAAAATGGTGTCTCTCGAGCCTTTGTCAGGTTCCGTTTTTGTGCAGGGACCCCATAGTATTCGATACTTAACTTCTTTTGTGATTATACTTATACTTCACTTGGTTCAACTTCGACCAAGTTAGGTTCAAATTCGACCGGCAGTTGGGACAACTTCGACCACCTTGGTGCAACTTCGACTGAGAGTTCGAGAGTCCATCTACATCGTTTTGTATGGGTTGTACTCTTGTGTTTTGATAGCAGTTTGCCACTCACACGCAAGGACATCACAATGACTAAACGTGACGTTCTTCAAAGCCGGGTCAACAGCAACCCCATCATCAGACTCGGAAATGCCTGCCTCGAGCAATTGCTTCAAAAATGATGTCTCGAGGGGGCTGCATGGGGATGACACAGTCTTCTGGAGGAACAACGTGTATCATGTCAAAGGTGGTGTCTCCAAAACCGGGTGGGAGCTCGATCGTGACGGGATCCTCACCAACGGGAATCGCTACATCAAATGCCCTCTCACACTCGTCGCAAGACATTGTCAATGAGGCTCTGTGATGATCTGGGCTTTGAGCCGCTACTGTCACTGGGCAAAGTGTGTCCAAATCAGCTTCTCCTTCAGTGGCATCCACAAACCGCTCAAAGTCGAAGTCTGGAGCAAAGGGGACTTCCATGACTTGATCCTCATCAACGATCACATCTTGAGTTTCAACTTCCTCACCAACCTTTCTGCCTTCACGAGGACCACCTCTTTGTGAACAAAAACCCTCTCGAGCTTGCACTCAAAATTTTCTTCCCCATCTTTTCCTCAATTTCCCTCGGGATGCTCAAGGCGTGCCCAGGAGGTCTTGTAATACTTGACCGACCAGCTACGCGGTCAATCAATGTAGCCTTCAGGACTTTAAACTCCTTGGAGGCTTTCCAATAGCTGAGGCCATTTTTGATGGCTTCGAAAGCTTTCATCAGGTTTTCCTGTCTGTACTTTCTGTACGACATTCTAGAGTCAGACAAGAAATGACTGCATAAATTGCCATTTATTACAAGTAAAAAAGACAAGAAAAGATCAATGTTTTTTGTCCAGTCATTGGCACTTTCTTTCGTGTTTATATTTATACCATCTAATTCAAACCTCGTTTCTAACAACACACACACACACACACACACACACATACACACACATGCGCGCGCACACACACATGCACACATACACTCATACGAACACACGCGCATGCATGCACGCAGAGAGACAGAAAGAGAGAGAGAGACAGAGAGAGAGAGAGAGAGAGAGAGAGAGAGAGAGAGAGAGACAGAGAGAGAGAGAGACAGAGAGAGAGAGAGCGAGAGAGAGACAGAAGAAAGACACACACACACACATACAAACACACACAAACACTCTCTCTCTCTCTCTCTATCAGTGGCGGTGGGAGGACCAAGATTTGGGTGGGGCTTAGGTTTCTTCCACTTCTTTACCACCAAAAAGCAAGCAGTAAGAACAAAACAGTGATGATTTTTCTGTACTCACGGCGAGCCACGGCATTTTGAGAACCATTCAAACGAGAAGAGTCACCTTTGTCTTCCATCTCTTTGTTCTTAGTTGAATTTAAGCTCTTCTGGATGGTGTGGACGAAGCCATTTCACTTCCAAATTTCTCTAATTAGTTTTTATCTGAAGAAAAAGTTGCCCCAAAAGTGGTTTGATGTAATTAATAACTCTGTAAATCTCAGAGGCACAAACACACAGCACTCCAAACACATACCGTCTATGAGATGGATTGGGTCGTGTTGTTGCGGAAAATAGAACGCGCCTAACACAGGGTCCAATGGGCGCATAGGTAACTGTGTCACTGGGGGAAAGTGTGTCGTAAACTTTCACCCCATTGTCAGGGCTGGGAGAGCATGAGCCCTGTGTGCAGTGTTATTTTTTAAAAGTCTTCTACCTTTTTACAAGAGTTTCATTACAGACGGTCGTGGGAACCAGCTTATTCTTTCTGAGCCCTAACGACATTTGATTGGCTGTTAGGTTACTATAGTTGTAAACGGTGACAGCAATGATTGGATAAACGGGCAAGCCGCCAAGCCAGTAACTGTGTGTTCATTGCATGCGACCATAACGGTTTCAACTGCTTATTTCGTTATTTAAAAAACTTTCATTAACCAAGTGACAGAGTTGGGGGGGAGGGGGTAGGGTAGGGGTGAGGGGCTCTTTCAAGCCCGTAAGCCCTTCACTACCCACTGCCACTGCTCTCTCTCTCTCTCTTCTATACTCAGAGATAAGAACATGGGCTATTTTAGACAGATCTATGCTAATTATAATAATTTATGCCCAAAAAGTAGGTGAATTAATTAGAAGCCCTACATTGGGAGAGATGGGGTGGGGGTGGGGTAGATTGCACAATGAATAGGTAGGTAGCCTAAGCTGTTGTCAGAACGTCGGTCGAAGTTGCCCCAACCCGGTCGAAGTTGTGCCAACCCCCGGTCGAAGTTGCGCCAACCCCCAGTTGAAGTTGAGCACACCAGTAAAAATACAGGGTGCCGAAGAAAAAACCGAAAGTCAATAAATAATGTGCACATATAATAAGCCAAATGGAGTTTAAAACGATTAAAAATGAATAAGTAAAAAGGATAAACACTTCAATAGTAATAGTTTTTGTTTTGGTCTTCTTGTGCTGTCAGCAAAGACGAAAACTGAAAGTTTTGATGCAGGCAAAATGCGTCAAACTGTTGTTTCGAACAAGAAACGTTCACGGTGGGAACGCAGCCGGTTGAAGAATCGCGGTTCTTGACAAAAAGGGTCACTTCGGATGACGAATGCGGTAAAAAATAGTTTCAGAATTAAATTTCAACTCGACAATGCATTTCATACTACACGGTCTACGGTGAATGCAGACGAATAATCGGTTAACAAAGAAGGCAAGTAGAGTGATTGGTCGAATTTGGCCCGAGATCGAAGTTGCCCCAACCCATCTTACTTAAGTACGGGATGGCTAGGCAAGCCACTTCAATTTTTTTTCATTGAAAGCAAGGCAAATGAAGCTTTTTTAGATGATAGCCTACCAATAACTCCACATGCCCCCCAAAAATTGATGAGTGCCTGATTTCACCACGTTGTGACACAAAAAGGCCTAGATCTATATCATATTCATAAAGGCCACCTCTATTCTCACCCGGAGTGAGAATAGTGCAGGCGAGTCTTGTGGCTATTCTCACCCGGTGCGCGTTCACCAAATTTTGCGTTCACCCTAAACCACAGAATTCTACACTGTGATAACAGAAAAATTGTAGAATTCTGTGCCGTGAACAAACGTTCCATTACAATTGTAGCCTACTAAAAGCGTACAATTTTGTCTGTGGGCAGTGGAGAGAGAGAGAGAAAGAGATAGAGGAGTAGCGCGAGAATTTCCGGGCAAAACAAAATGGCGACCTGCGTAGTTCGGCTCGATTCGAAAAGTTAAATAGCCGTAGCATCTTTGTAGACAACCAAATTTATTTACTTTTGTGTTTTAACATCATTTTTTAACTTTGTTTTGGTCAATTTGATCGTCCACACCGATAGACGGTATTCAGAAAGAGACAGAGAGAGAGAGAAGAGGGGAGGAGTTGATCTTGCGAGAACTTCCGGGCGGGTGAGAATAGCCACTTTCATTCATAAAAGATCTAGAATCTAGATCTAAATCTGAGCCAAAAGCAATAGGCTATAGGACTATTCTAGATCTAAATTCTAGATCTAGAAAAAATCTAGATCTAGATCCTAATCAAAATGTCCTTCCCTTACGACGCCGAAAAAGAAACTGAAACTGAAAGTTAAATCTAACTCATACACTACACTACACTGAGTCTGGCAGGAGCATTCAGTAGCCTCACTAGACCTACTTTATGATGGCAGTTACAGAGATCGGTACTACTGATCTGTCACTGTCTGCTGTCAGTCAAGGCAAGACGATGATAAGAAAGAGTTGTTCACACATATTTTATTTTCAAAATATTTTTATTTTTATCACCACGTCCACATCGAGTTCGTTCATTTTTCATTTTGCTTCAGTTCTCAGCATATTAGATCTAGATCTAGATTCTAGATCTATCTATGGCATGGCATATGGCTCGAAACTGTTACGATAGCATACTGAGAAGAGCAGATTGTGTGGAATTTTCCCATTTCTAAAAATACCCAATAAAATTATGCCATGAATGTTGTCGCTTCCTTAGTACTCTGCAACATAGGCTAGGCCCGAGTCTATCATCGCAGGAAAGACGAATGGTGCCTGGAGGCTGCCATCATGGAAATGGAAACTGGAAACAAATCAACAATCAACAAACCAATATCCGCTTCTTCCAAGTTCGTATTCGCAGTTTTCATCAGTTGACTTGGAAGGTTTTATTTCGAGATTAGGCAAGTCAATTAGTAAAAATGCCTTCCACCTGTGTTGTGTTTAAGTGTAAGAACCGATATAATGCTGCAGTGGACAGAAGTTTTCACAGGTGTTGTGTTCCTTTTTAAAAAATCTGAATGAAAATGTTTTAAGCCCCCAGCGACACAATCTAGCTAGATCATTAACATTTATAAGAGGTTCGCTCCGGCGCTACCTGCAAAGGCCAACCTGGGCAGAAAGGGATACACTGTAACAAGTTAACAACACCCCAGAAGAAAGACCGAGATAGGCTACTTGATTTTTAAAGAATATTCTTATTCTTGTGTGCGTGTGTGTGTGTGTGTGTGTGTGTGTGTGTGTGTGTGTGTGTGTGT